TAAAACGTGCTAATTTGAAGGATCGTTTAAACGAGAAATTTCACCTAATGATAAAGCAATCAACATCAAGACTATGCATTCAGGCGTCGTTATTTTGAAGATCTAAAAATTCTTGACTCATGAAATATACATATACCACTCTACAACTTTCTCATACAAACAGTTTGATTCTAGTTTTCCTTGATAACTCAAATTCACGAGCAGAAGAGCAGCTCTTCTCGAAATATATCTTTATTAATTCGTTCAGCGAGACCTCTAGTTGAGAATTGGCACAAGAAATGACTTCGTATACATACCGTCAATGGCACCTTTTTTTAGTATTGAAAGTAATTTATGAGTTTCGATACTTGCCGACACGCGCAAAGAAGACAGTGATGACGTATAATTACCAAATGGATAAAACTAAAAGATTCATCAAATGTAAAGAGAAGAAAAGAAAAGATAGCGTTTGAAAACACTCAGCCATCTTCGGAGAAAAAGGGCGACTCCCCTCTCGGATGAGCCTGCGCCGACAAAGATCGAGTGGCTTTCCAAACACCAAAGCCCATCGAACCCACCCGCGCGCCCCATTAGGCTTCGATACATATAATTGCCGCCTGCGCTCAGGAGGAAGAGGAGGAGCGGAAAAAGGTACACCAGTCGCACGATTGATTAGCGGTGAAACGCGGAATGCGTAGTTGCGGGATCACGCATCAATGTGTGTTTTTGCGTGCTGCATTGTTGCGTTATAATTAGATTATTTATTCAGTTGATTCATTATTGTATTGGTAGAAACTGAATAATCGTGCTATTTTTTATTGGGTAATTACCGTTAGATCGATTATATTCAACCGAAGAGAATCCAAAAAAATATGGCTAAGCAACAAAATTATATACGTAATGAATTTTACCGTATACTAAATTAACGCATAATTACTAAGGTAAATCCACGATTCGTCTATGTAATTTTACACCGTTTACACGACTACCTTGTACTGCCAAATTGTACTCGCTTGTTATTTACGTATTTGCACTGTTATTCAAATTGTAAAACAAAATCGATGTTTCCAACCGACGCATCTGAAGCTCCATGTCACGGGAGCAGTTAATTGGTCGGAAAATTGATAACCCTGGGCATGTGACACGCAACTGTCAATTTAGCATTTGCGAGGTAAAAAAAAATATTGTTGACGTATAAAGCGTGTCCAAAATAATTTCTCCCTCGTGGAATCTCGCTTAGGCAGGCCTCTCCTGCTACTGGCCGTACTTTGCGATCGATCGAGCCGTCAAATGCTAAACCGAAATTCCACGCGAGCGTCGCTAGTGAATGGTCGAGCGCGCGAGCGAGAGCTCCTCGATAATTGAAAATTAAGTGACTAGACGCAAGCGCGCAACGAAACGTCCGCCGGCATTACAAATGCCCCCATCGGTATGACTGACCGGTTACGGAATAAAATTATACTTGTCGAGAGGTGTTATAAGCTCCGGCTCATTCGATTTGCCTACTATTATCGCTCGCGCGCGCAGCGCGTCCAACTTTCATTTACGCCATGGTTTCTGGACGATTTTACGTGCTTTTCCTTTATCTCCGCTTCACATGGATACAAACACACAATTGCCTTTGGAATTATGGCGAACATTTTGCGCTAACTTGTAGCCTTATTACAATGTATTCACATATAGATAGAATATTGTTTACCGGTGGAAGAAAAATCCATCACCTCGGGCCGCTGCGTATAATGCTAAAAAAAAACGCCAAAAAATGCCAAATTTTGAAGACAAAAATAATAACGAATGATAAATCTCGAGGCATTCAAAATGGAGAATCTACATCCCACGATCCACGCGTCTCTCGGCGTCTACTCGTTGATCGATGATTTTCCCGCCATGCTCTTCACAAATCATCCCTCTCTCCAACGTAGATGGAAGCACAACAAACAAACAAAATAAAAACAAATTTTCTAACGACGCCGAAAGATCGTAACAAATAACAAAACAACAAAATATAAATCAACAAGTAGCGCACGGATCGCGTGCGAATTTAGCGCGTAGCATCTTAATACGCCGCGTGCCCGTCGAAAACTGACCCGCGCGTGTGCAGCTGGCCGCTGGAAAAGGGAGCAGAGCAAGTAAGTGAGAGAGAGAGAGAAAGAGAGAGAAAGGGGGCCAGTTGACGAAGGGGCCGATCTTTTTTCCAAAGTGGATGCAATTTTTTACGTCGCGACCCCTGGCCAGTACATACGCGACTGCCAAATGCGCGACCAGGTAACTACTTGGGGGCAGGGGGGGGTCGCAAAACTCTTCGCAAGGTGAGACATACGTTCAGATAGAGAGGGGAATAATGCATTGTTTCTTGTTGATGTACAATCAGGCTGAAAAGTTACGATGTGCAACGACAATGTCGTAGTGATCACAATGATGCGATGTTTTGAGAATTTTACGTGCATTTTTTCGTGATAATGGTTATTGACTTTTGAAGTATTTACTTTTCCACCTTGAGTATGCAAGAATCGTAATCATTTGCAATTTATAAATTATCACTTCGCCAACAGATTCTGCCGATCTAATTATTTTGCAAGCTCCATAGCATAAACGATAAAAGGACGTGTACTAACAGCATAATAAACAAATTCATGGCAATATTAAGTGCTCATCAACGACCTACCAATACACATTTCAACGAACATCATAAATTTTATTTTATTTAGACTTATAGAGCATTTTTCTAACTGAATACAGTGCAGTTATGGATGAGAACAGATCTAATTGAAAAAAAACAACTGTTTCATATGAAAAGTCCTTTATTCTCAACTTGGAACTTCAAAACAAGGCTGAAAATGGTAAACGTAAAAAAGCACAGAGCACGTCAAGTAAGTAACCGAAAGAAGATTGATAATCTAAAATGTTTTTCCATGGGGACTGTACATCCTCACTGGAAATTCACGAGAACGTCGCGCGCGTCGATGTGCTAAAGGGGGTTGTTTTCACATCGCGGACGGATGGACGAAAGTACGTCGTCGGATGTATTCATTGCGATGGAGCCCGGTGATATATATACGTGCAGATGGCCAAAGCCGAGAGGGATGCGTGATTTGTCTGTCCAAGTGTATTGTCTACCAAAACTCGCACGCGCATTTTTTCATTGTATCGTCTGTCTTATAATCGTGTAACTTGACCGTACAAGAACTGATGTATTACAACCTTTCATTATTACGTGTTCATAGCAACGAGTTGATCCGATATTTTTTTCGTGAAATTTTAATGGGAAATATGCAACATTAATTCTGAATTCCATATAAATTTTGAATAAATATGGCGTTTATCAAATAAAAAGCTCCCTCTCACGTGTGAGCCTTATTCAGGATCCTGATTAAGCAGTTGAACTCGCCAATAAATCAATTCGTCGCCTTTATTCACATAATATATGTATATTTTCGCATACACGTGAATTTCAATAATTTTTTGACGTGTTTCATGGTCAAGCATTTGTTATTGAATAGCCAGCAATGCTGCTACGAATTTAATTTAAATTATATAATTGATAACTGCAACAGGCGTGTAAAATAAACGACGAGGTGAAGAAACCGTTTAAAAATAAAAAAAACTCTCGTATACGTACGTATATTGGCTTTGATATCAATTTATCTGCACGTACATGCACGCATATGTATCATTATTAGTAAGCAGACGAAAAGTATGGATTAGAAGCCGATAACGCGCGCTGCGGTGCGGCTGCAGCTCGTAATTTCGAGATGGTAATTTTATTGGACATGGCATATAACTTATCCTTAAAAAGACGTCATATATCGCAACCGATTTCGCCCAAATATGCAATGTTGGCTCTCGCAGTGCAGCCTGAAATTTCTCTGCAACGCAGACACAATTCTCAATTTTATGATCACCTGTTAAAGCAATCTAGTCGTCGATCATTCAGGGCCAATAGATGGTCGTATCGACGGCAAAAAAGAATTAAAGAAATCGGAGCAGAAGAGTTTTTGGGGACGTTCATTATTCATGCGTTGTTTTCGCACGCCGGAAGTCGAGCGGCGCACAAGCGGCGAATGGATTTATTAACGGCGGCTGCAGTGCAAAAGAGATAGAGTCTCTGTCTCTCTCTCTCTCTCTCTCTCTCTCTCTCGCTCGGGCGTTCGTAGTTGTAGTAGGGGATACATTGTACGGCCGATCGATGCAACTGGCCGGCTTTTCGTCGTCGTTGTCGTCGCGCACCCCGGATAAGTGATGGTGCGACGCGCCGCGCGGCAACGGTAAATATCGGACCCTCGCCTCGTTGCTACCGATACATATACATAGACGTGACTCTCTCGCATCGTGAAATACAACGAACAATAATTTTGCATCTCGTTTGCATTGTGCGCCAGGCTGATATCAACGTAGCGCGTCGTTGTAACTGCGCTCGCGCTTTGCTAAAAATCCGATTGCTCCAATGGGATTGTTGCAGCAGGACTGACTGTGTTTGTCACTATATTGGCGGTTGTAATCTCTTGAAGGCTTGGTATTTCTCTCCACATCACTGTAATCCGTCTAATATATATGCTACAAGATTATTATGGCAGAAGTACCATTATAATGGTTCGTTATTTGATATCACTGTCTGGTAACTGTCCCTGTATCACACTTAGACTTACGAGTTTTTCAAGTTTATCATTTGTTACTTTACGGCGCTTTCTCGATCAGGAAGAATATTGATGATCATTAACGAGTATGTGATATGGATAATGCATGTGATTACGATAAGATTGAGATCACTCCATAAATTTTATTTCACAGCAGTGCCAATTTAGGAATTATTTTTAATTTTTATCTATCCTACACAGAAAAGTTCATTACATCCATGAAATGATTAGTTATAATAATCAAACTTGTTTTCACACCATTTATTGTCAGAATTTAATAGAAAATTTATTCACAATATACATGATAGCAATTATGTACATCACAAAAGCCTTAGTTATTTGACTCATTAAATGCAATTTATCTAATAATCAGTCGACTGCTACACGAAGCGATAAAATCGGTGAGCTCAGATATGGATAAAAGCACAAAAGCAAACGGTCCATCCTTCGATTTGCCGAGAAAAAGCGCAAAATCTTCTTAGCAGCATTAATAAGCAATAGCGTAGGTGTGTCGAAGGCAGTTGTCGTTGACCTCTACGTTTTTTTCTGCTCAGCTTTCGTGGGGCCTGCAAGCTGTCTGCAAAAGCAACGAGATATTAGTGGCGTTTAAAAGCGTCGAGAAATTTCTCTCTCTCTCTCTCTCTCTCTCACGCACTCTCTCACTCTCCGAGTGAAAATTGCCTCCGGCGATTGGCTAATTCTCTGATAGCTTTATATATCCCGGAGTATCCAACATTATATAGCTCGAAAGTGTAACAGGCGTTTGGTCGCCTTTGTTTACTTTTGTCAATTTTCACTTAGTGTACACGCTAATCTAGAAATTTTACTTTTCTACGTTCATTTTCTTCATTCGTAAAGGTTACATTATTTTTCAGGGAAATTGCAAATATTAAACGCAACAATTTGTCTCGAAAGGATAATCTCGTGAAATAAACTGCATAAAATTATTAATTATAGAAAACATTAATCAATGAATGGGTAAATTTCACTCGAAGAAAGGATAAATATTAGTATATAGTATCGCGGCATGCAAAGCAGTTTCTCACACATCCGCTGGCAAATTATGTTAGTGTGCTCTCTCGCACGTGCATTGTTGATTTCCATAAATAACGATAAGCCACTCATGTCCGCGAGAAATCCTGCAAAAAAGAGAGGAGTTTGCGATTTGTGCATGGTTGTGCATGTATATATGTTTGCTGAGAGAGTCTCTCTCTAACGCGGAAGTGTGTCGGGGGAGGAAGAAGGCGCAGCTCGCGGGAGCGCTGAAAGCAATATCGCGTATATACAGCGTTTATCGCGTAACCCATACGTGTATATATATAGGCAAGTGAAATGCACTAGGAAAATTCAGAAAAAAAGTATCTCTTGACGTCTAATTAGAGGAGAGAGAAAATACTTGATCCGTTAATTGCAACGTTTCTTCCCCCTTGATAAATATTTTGATTTCAATGTATATTTTTGCTGCAATTGAAATGTTATTAATCAAACGACCGTATATGAATCTTATTTTAAATTATTATGAAACGGCTCTCATCGAATCTGCGAGCAGTGCGCGCCGGTTCAATAAGAAATCATGAAGCTATAGCATAGGATATCGTCTCAAACATAGAGCATTAGAGGTATAAGAAACTGCATGTTAGTATAACATTTGATTGAGTATTAATGTGATTATCATACTCTACATAGTGAATAAGGAATGAAGTTTGCATTGAAGTGCATAGAAATTCATATTAATGAATTCCCTACATAATGGCTATTTTGCCTGCCGATCTAAGCCAATCCAAGAATGGCTAATTTTGGATCATGCTTTAGTATTATTAGTGTATATTATTCCCTTGAATTTTCATGCTACAAAACAGTTTAAGATATAGCAACTGAAAAATAAAGAAATTACAATTTAAGATATGGTTATACGTGATTATATGTACATATACACACACGCGTATTCTCTTGTGCAGCATCTGTTCAGCTCACGGTCAGAGTATGTAACCATGAGTTCAGCTCTTTCTCTCTCCGTCTTTCTCTCTCTCTCTCTCTCTCTCTTCCGTACATGCACATTCTCACACAGATGCATACGCGTGTACATAGTAGTCTCGCAAGACACCCGCGCTTGCAATCCGTTAACGGTTAATTGGCTATCGGTCAGAGTAGCAGCAGTCGTCTTACCTTGTTAAAGGTGGCGCCGCCGGCCGAAAAGAGCCAGCGCCCGGTCGATCCTCATCGATATGCTGCTTCCGGCTTCGGGCGATCTTTCCACGGCTTAATTGACCTTTCAACGAGATGCTGCTTTTTTCATAATTTCATTGCGATCATATTAATTTGTATTGCGATCTTTGAATTTCTACGCGTGGCTCTTCCTTACTTACAATGTTAATATGATTAATTGCACTTTTATGCGATAACGTGTTTCTTTTTTCATTCACTTGTATATCCTGAAAATATCACGCAGCGAAGTCAAATTGAGACAGTTTAAAACGACGTGTCCAAGTGACCGCGGGATGTAAAAATTACACCTTTTTAAAACTTGTCACTGTTATTCACGAAGACACTTTGAGATACAACAATATCTTTCACTTCACTTTCGAAAAAATAGAACCGTCGCACAGCTGCATAAATATGCACGGGGATCTCCCAAAAAATTACAATATTGAAATCAGTAATGTTCTTCTACTGTAACACTGTGAAAGCAAGCTTTTTCGAGCCTCCTAAATGTTTGTTTGCTTACGTAAAATAATCGGGAAGGGATGGAAAGGTCGATCGATCAATCGATCGATGGAGAGTGGTGGTTGATAGCGAGTAATCGGGTGGCGCGCGCTCGCGTCTGGCGCTGAACTAGTCGCTCTCGAAGCCCACTAGCGGTAGTATAATTGGCAGGCGGCGTTTTTCGGCGGTGCTGCGGCTGCAGCAGCACGCGATTTATCGTGCGAGCTTAGTAAGAAAAATCAGCGTGCGCGCCGCGCGCGCACCAAGAAGATCTAGGAGAGCAAAAGCATGTGTGTGCACAAGAGTCGAAGAGACGAGAGAGAGAGAAAGAGAGAGAGAGAGCAAAAGGCACAAGCGCATGCGCCGCGAAACCAACGTGTAATACCTCCCTACGTCACGTCATTGGCGTGGAGAGCTTATTCTCAACTCTCTTGCACGAACTATCTCTTTCTCTCTACTCTCAGTTGTGCGGGTGAAAGAAGAGGGAAAAGCGAGGAAGGAAAGAGAGAGAGAGAGAGAGAGAGAGAGAGAGGAGAGAGAGAGAGAGAGGAGAGAGAGAGAGGACAGAGAGAGAGAGAGAGGGAACGAGAGAAGAAGAGAAAGAGATAGAGAGGATGCAGGAGGCCAACTGCAGCATGGGACCGAGAGAGCTCAGAGGGAATGTTTCTATTAGGAATGCGCCGCAAGCGAACTTGATTCATTTTTCAGACTCCATTTGTTTTCTATTAACACCGAGGCGTGAGTGCCTTTCTGCCTGCGCGCTTACGGGGATGCTCAAAAATTGGGCTGTATCACTGATTTTTTTTCTCTTCGCTTTTTGTATCTAACCGTGGTTACGAATGTTTTTACAATTCTTTTCAAAAGGTAATTTAAAAAAAGAATCTAAGAATTTCTATACATGATATTGGCTGCAGTTTTTCATTTATTTTTCTTTTTAATTCACGGGATCACATTTATAAAATAAATTTTTAAAAAACAGTGCAATATTTTAGTATTTATCCGTAGAAAATTATGACGAACTGTATAGTATCTATCACATTAAAAAACAATATTCTCCCCGTGATTCTTTTTTTGAAGTTATACTTGTCATAAATGACACCGTTAGAGAGCAAACAAAAGATTAATTAATTTGAATATCTGCACGGTAAAAGCCTCTCTTTCGTACATGCAGCTTTAGTTCAGCTCGTAACTTGCAAGTTCGAAAAAAGAAAGAAGACGCACGTCGTATCTATTTTAGTTGCGCCTAGATATATACACGCGAAACATCAGTGAGCGCGCACGAGCTCATGCTGCAGCTCGCTAAGAGAAGAAAGAAGCGGGAAGAAATGGTAAGAAAAAGAAGCACAGCAACGAAGAAAGAGTTGCGCGCCGTGCGGAGGCGGAGAGTAGTGGGACGCGACGCGCAGAGAGAGAGAGAGAGAGAGAGAGAAAGAGAAGAGAAATGCACGCGCGCAAGCACGGAAGATTGCGTTTCACGGAGAGCTACACACACAAGGCAGATGTATAATATTTATTTTCATCGACGCGGGCGAATCCACGCGCATATCTCTGCGCGCTTCTTCTTCATTTCTTCTTCTACCGCAATTCAAATGCCGGAAATAAATCATTGGTTTTTTCGGCTTGAAGTTTCCATTTCTTCAATAATGTTGGTCTAACCGTTGCCTAGATGACTCGTCAAGAATAAAGAACTCGCGTGTATATATAGTAATCACAATGAATTTTTTAATACAGTTTATTTAATTAAACAAGGTAATATAATTAGATCATATT